GCAGCGGGAGGACGCTGTCCATCCGCGACGGCGATGTGCTGCTTGTAGTGGACTGATGTGAGGAGTGTTGTGACCGTCACTGGAGTAGCGGCACCGGGTGTCTGCCCTGGCGTTATTTGTGTGGCCGCGTCGTAACAATTTGCCGACAAGTTTTGGAATGACGCTCGCCCGCCCCGCCAAAGTATGAGAAGGTGATCCATCCCATCCCGCTCTCCCCACGCCGCCCGCCGGCTCTCATTACGTCGCCTTTCTGTCGGCGGCGGCGGTGGCGTCGTTTGTCTGAGGAAACCTTCCGTGGGAATTGGTTTGATTTGTCGACTCCTCGTGTTCACTCGACATCGCCCCGCCGTCGTGCGTTTCAAGGAGCGCTTTCTTTATTATTTTTGTAGTCTTAAATGAAACGTCAGGCAGGGGGAAGGCGGGTCCATAACTTAACACTTCACTGGAACGCCTCGAACCTCAAGGTAACTGTTAAAGTTTTAACTTTTAACTTAAGAAGGACTACTACAACGTTAAGTTATCAATAACTCAATAACTCTGACTTTCATTAGAGTGCTGGTTTGAAAATCCATAACCTCAATATTTAACTAGTTTTGTTTAAAACTACGTACGTTCACGCATAACTTAAATGCGTTAAGTTACTGATTCCCTGACGCCAGGTCTCACGTCGAGTAGTATTACGTATTTGTCGAGCTGTGAACCGACAGCCAGCGGATACTCCGAACACGTTCGCTCATCCCCTGACTAGTGGTTGGTGCGCGAGCACTTCCTCCACCCGCCACCCCTCCCTGCGGGCACACCAAACAAAATCCAATTTTATTGGTTATTTTTAAAATTTTATTTTTACCCCTCCCAACACCTCTCTGCTTTTGTCCTCGCCCTGGTCCGGGCTTTGTTACCCAATTAATACACGCCCTTGCTTTGCCACCGGGGCGGGCGTGGCGTGGAGCTGGAGCTGGTAGGGGTAGTTGCCAATGCCAATACGCGTCCAGTCTACTGGAAGCTCAAACAGCGGCTGCTGCCTCTCTCCCTTTTGTCCTGGTCAAAACTGCAAACTCAACTGAGGACGTACAATATCCTAGGCAAGGTTGCGATGAGGCACATGCTCTTCAGCTCTTCCTCGTGAAAATTGAACGCCCCCAAAAGAAAATAAAATAAAAGATAATTCCCTCGAAGGTTGTGTGTTTTCATTTTGAATTACCTCTAGCTGGTCCTAAGTTTATGTGCCGCTGTGTCCCACCCAATTTTGCTCCGTACTTGAAATCGCATGAGAGTTTGGCTCACTGCCGACTACCTTCGAGGTAATTATCGATTTCCACCTTCATATAATTTCTTGCCTGGCCCGACCCACATGAGCCAACAGTAAGGGGAAAAGGGGGGGTGAAAGATGGGGGTAAGGAGGGGAAGAGCCGCGAGGCGGGGGTGGTGGTGGTGGTATGAAATCAGCCAGGGTCCTGCCAGGAGGTCCCTCCCGGGCATCGGCCCCTACGAACCCTCAGAGGTTGTCTCTTGTGTTCTCTCACATTTTTATTCTTTTTCGCACATATGTCCGTTTCAAATGACGTCCCTCCTTTTTCCATGATTTTTGGTTAACAAGTAAAATTGATACTTTGTCAACGCGTTCAAAAATATTAAACAGACCAGCAAATTGTTATCATCTTTTAATTTTGCAAATGCCTGGATCGTAATGACTTGCGTTGTCTGTCGACTGGCGCGGTGCGGTGGTGCTCGACTCGGCGCGGTGCTCGCCTGGAACGCCCTGCCGGTAGGCAGCCAATCGTACACGGGCGTCTCGCGGCGCGGCCCAACTCCTCGGTGGTAGGGGCCCTCCGCTCTGCTGCTCCGCGCTCCGGCTCCGCTCTCTCGGCCAAACAGCCACAGCAGTTCAAAAGCAACGCTTTGCAGAACTGCGAAGTATTTAGATCCCTTGTAATTACGAAGTATTTACTTTGCAATTACAAAGTCATGCTTTGCAATTGCAAAGCGATGCTTTTTAGCGTGTTTTCATTGCTTCGCAATTGCAAAGCAAATGCTCTGTAATTTCAAAGGATCTAAATACTTCGCAGTTCTGCAAACCGTTTCTTTGCAGGATTTTAACAGTGTGCTTCAACACGATTTATCGACTAAATTTGTGCATTTGTATGATTGTGCCGGATTGCACTTAAATTAACCAAAATGATAGCCACGGTCTTGAGCTATTTTTAAGGGCCAATCAGACTGCTTCCGACCGTGTACACGTGATGCCCCCGGCAGCATGGATCAGTTTCTTTGTTTTCTTTTTGAAAGTCCACTGCTTTTTTTTTTTTTGTGTGTG